GGCAGAAAATGACACTGTTATCGTCTTGACAGCAACTAATGAGGTTGGTTCTGCTAGAGGGAACATTCCCATGCTTGCATTTCATTGGTAGATTCTGTATGTTGACAGTTCATCAGCCAATCACAAGAAGGGATTAGCTAAAAGCTCCGCCCACTTAGCTTAGATGCTCAATTCAACCATCTTATGATTATTTCAACTAATCTTTCTATAAGTTAATTATTCATCCAATTAATTTGAAAATAATGATACATAAAATTATATATTGTGGGATATAAAAGATGTTATTTGTGAATAGTCGATCTGTTCAAAATTTGACGCCATGTTTTATTGTGTTTAATGCTAACTTCTGCCACTAGATGGCACCTCTCGTCAGGCAGAGAGATAAAGCTGCATTAATATATTTACCTGATAATAAAACCTTAAAGTTTTTGTAGTTTTATTCAAATTTATTTAGTGAAATTCTTATAGTTCTTATTCCTTATGTAACTGTTAATGATTTTTTGTATCTAATTAGCTTTCAATATTTCTCCTTATTTAGCATTACCTATAAATAAAGCATTTGTGTAAAAATAATTTTAAACCAGTCAAATAAACGTGAAAAATGCAAAAGAAATATAAGTTCAGATATTAATGAACTTGTGTAAATCAATTTGATGACAGATTGGTTGGCAAACCTGACAAGAGGTTCCATCTAGCGGCGGAAAATATAACTACATATCCCTTTCCTGTGATTGGCTGTTGCGGTCAATGTCAACAAAGAGTTTCGACCAATGAAATGCGAGCGCGGGAAATGCTTCTTCCCGCGCAACAGTAACCCGCCTTATGGGCGGCTGTTGGTCAGTTCACAATGTCATTTTCTCCCACTAGATGGTGACACCAATTCTATATTCCATTGTCTGGGTGTATTTATTCACGTAATGGTGCTTGCGGGATTGAACTTCGGCTGTTTGGTTACGCCTCTCAACCATCAGTCAACTGCAGGTGTGAATGTATGAGTGTTTTCCTGTTTCTTTTGTATTTTGTATGATTGTATTTGTTTGTATGTATACGTGCGCGTACTTATGTATATTTGCATGTGTGTATTTTTGCTTGTTCGTCTATATAACAATTAATAAATTAGGGAATAGGCTTTATGCCTTCTTCTGGTAATTACAGACTTGGGGCCAGATTCACGAAAGCACTTATGCAAGCCCTTGCCAACCTGTATATCTTTTCTCAATCTTTGGCGGCTTTGTTTACAAGTATTAAACAGTTAATGAGCTCCGAAGCACCAGGAGGCTGTTTATAACAATAACAACAGTTGAATGGGAAGTTTTCATGCTTGTAAACTGTTTAATAAATGTAACCAAAGCCGTCAAAGATTGAGGAAAAGATGTACACGTTCGTCAGTACTTGCGTAACTGCTTCGTGAATCTGGCCCTTGAACCACCCAATCAAAGTTTACCAACAACAAACCACAACCATAATATATATATATATTTATATACATAAAAGCTATATATAAATCCGTATTACATTTTAACCATTCTTTTTTTCCTATTACAGTTTCAGTTGGGGCGCGGGTAATTGATTCTCATTTGTCCTATGTACGGACCGCTGTACTCAATTGCCTTTGGCAATATTACCCCCAGTAATACATCCCGGGGAAGCTGCATGGGCCGGCCCGGAGCCAGGGACCCCCATGATAAACCCATCGGCTTTTATTGCCTATACCATTTAACCAAAGGCGAGTTTATCTCCATAAAAGCATGATTTTGCTTTGTATGTGCGCGCATGCGCTTGTAACTGTGTCTTTTGATACAGCTCTGTGTTATATGGGGACAGGTAGAGAGTGTGTGTGTGTGTGTGTGTGTTTAGGCTTGCAATCTGAGGTCAAACTATGATGACCTTTCCGTCACGGGTTATCTGATTTCCGGGTACCTTTTGCAGAATTTCTGTTCCGCATCCTTTGTTTCTTTCACACTATCTTCTCCGAGCTCTTTGGACATGGGGGGGGGCTAGATTCACGAAGCAGTTACGCAAGCACTTACGAACGTGTACATCTTTCCTCAATCTTTGACGGCTTTGGTTACATTTATTAAACAGTTTACAAGCATGAAAACTTGCCAGTCAACTGTTGTTATTGTTATAAACAGGCGCTTCGGAGCTCATTAACTGTTTAATAATTGTAAACAAAGCCGCCAAAGATTGAGGAAAGATGGACAGGTTCGCAAGTGCTTGCGTAACTGCTTCGTGAATCTGGCCCTTGGGTTCGTAAGTGCTTGCGTAACTGCTTCGTGAATCTGCCCCCATATTAACTGTTATTGAACAGACGTAATTACGTTATAGGAAACGTGCCCAACCATTTCGGTGCTGTACAGAGTTGGAACCCTGGATCCCAGATTGTGTCGGGAACATAGCCATTCTTCTACAAGACTCCTATTTATATATATATATATATATATATATATATATATATATATATATATATATATATATATATATATATATATATATATATATATATATATATATATATATATATATATGCAATTGACGATCACAAAACACTGATCATTTTATGCGGAAAATCCACAGAGAAATATGAAATGAGGTGAACGTTTCGGCCCTGTTAAAGCCTTTGTCAACACCAGACTGACTAACTTCTGACTGACCCCTTCTCCCTTCTCCTTAGTCAGTCTGGTGTTGACAAAGGCTTTAACAGGGCCGAAACGTTCACCTCATTTCATATTTCTCTGTGGATTTTCCGCATATATATATATATATATATATATATATATATATATATATATATATATATATATATATATATATATATATATATATATATATATATATATATATATATATATATATATACATACATACATATACCAATAGACAGTATGTGTCAATCTTGTTTTCCTATTTCATATCGGGCCGTCCAACGGGGCTGATATATGAACAATCTTAGAGTTATAATTTATATTTCAAAATAATTATTGACAAAATCGTAGTTATAAAATATGTTCTAATATTTATAATATATTAGCAACAATTAATGTTATAATTCCCTCATTTGGTATTTTGGATTCTACCCCAGTCACCACTACCAATCTACTATTCTACCCAGTCATCACCACCAATCTACTATTCTACCCAGTCATCACCACCAATCTACTATTCTACCCAGTCACCACCACAATCCTATCATTCTACCCAGTCATCACCACAATCCTATCATTCTACCCAGTCATCACCACCAATCTACTATTCTACCCAGTCATCACCACACACCTACCATTCTACCCAGTCATTACCACACACCTACCATTCTACCCAGAGTCACCACCACACACCTACTATTCTACCCAGTCATCACCACACACCTACTATTCTACCCAGTCATCACCACACACCTACCATTCTACCCAGAGTCATCACCACACACCTACCATTCTACCCAGAGTCACCACCACACACCTACTATTCTACCCAGTCACCACCACACACCTACTATTCTACCCAGTCACCACCACACACCTACCATTCTACCCAGTCATCACCACACACCTACTATTCTACCCAGTCATCACCACACACCTACCATTCTACCCAGAGTCACCACCACACACCTACTATTCTACCCAGTCGTCACCACACACCTACCATTCTACCCAGTCATTACCACACACCTGCCATTCAAACACCAGCATCTTCACATCTCTCCAGTAGCCTCATCTTCACTAGCATCCCCCGTAATCATCACTAAAACATCTCAGATCAAAAAACAGTACAACAATTTTATTAACATCTCAACCTCACCAGATTCGTTTTAGGATTTTCCATTGAAATTTAATCTCATGTAATCCTTACAAATCCAAATATAAATCTTATCCACATAGCACTAGAATATATTTAAAAAAATATGCACCTTTATGGAAAAGAATTTAAAAAAAAAAAAAGGTTTACATTGTTTTGAAACAAGAGTTTTCACACTATAAATAAAATCCTCAGTATTTACACAACAGTAGATCAACATGAGTAAAATATACTGCTAGGAAAAGTTATATATTACAAATTCCTTTATAATGCCTTCCGTTCACATTACTGTATACTAAATTATATATATATATCTGAGTCATATACATATGGCAAGAGAAACATATGACTTCCTATTAGTCAAGTCATATACATATGGCAATATGACATGAGAAACATATTGTGGTATGTCAGACATGATATGGGTTGAGAAACACATGATATGACTTAGAAACACATAATATGACTTGGAAACACATAATATGACTTAGAAACACATAATATGACTTAGAAACACATAATATGACTTAGAAACACATAATATGACTTAGAAACACATAATATGACTTAGAAACACATAATATGACTTAGAAACACATAATATGACTTAGAAACACATAATATGACTTAGAAACACATAATATGACTTAGAAACACATAATATGACTTAGAAACACATAATATGACTTAGAAACACATAATATGACTTAGAAACACATAATATGACTTAGAAACACATAATATGACTTAGAAACACATGATATGACTTAGAAACACATAATATGACTTAGAAACACATAATATGACTTGAGAAACACATAATATGACTTGAGAAACACATAATATGACTTGAGAAACACATAATATGACTTAGAAACACATAATATGACTTGAGAAACACATAATATGACTTGAGAAACACATAATATGACTTAGAAACACATAATATGACTTGAGAAACACATAATATGACTTAGAAACACATAATATGACTTGAGAAACACATAATATGACTTGAGAAACACATAATATGACTTGAGAAACACATAATATGACTTGAGAAACACATAATATGACTTGAGAAACACATAATATGACTTAGAAACACATAATATGACTTGAGAAATATATGACATTGTGACATAATATGGCCTGAAGCACAAACAGAAACACAATGGGAATGAGAAACAATATGTGGCAATAAAAAAAAACTTAATCTGGCATGAGAAACATTTTTGTCAAAAGATATATATTTATATAGAAATAAATTATGATGCTGTAAGTTGCCATAAATAAGAAGTTAACTCAGTTAACAAAACTTTAACATGAAAAATCCTCATGAGCAAAAAATCCACGAGTAAGGCAAAAAATATGTTGACACAAGATAGCAAAATGATATAAACAGATATCCGTAAATTCTGCAGGCATGAAAGGGAAGGATGGGGACTATCAGCAGAAAAAGATAGCAATATGGAGGTATATATATAGGGAAGAGTATTAATAAATAATAGGGCAGTGTAGAGGCCCAATAAATGGGGGAAATTAACACAAACAAATGGGCAATATTGAGGCCTAAATGAACCTAGATCACTACATGGGAAGAAGTACGTTCAACATCTTTAAGTTCTGTCAAGAAGTTTCCCAAAAGGTTTTCTCCTACGGTATAAAATAAACTCTAATTATCACCCAATATTCGAGCAATGCCTGCTTCCCTTATCCTATATTTCTCTATTACTTCCAGGCAATGGAATTTTTTTACTTAAGAATCTCCTCTTGTCTATTGTAAACAATGTGATGGTCTTAAGGCTCCTCTGTTGTCAATTGTATACACTGATATCATCTTAGGAATTGTCTGTAATCAGGTGTAAACATTGTGATCGTCTTACTTAAGATTCCTCTGTTTTCAAGAGCAAACATTCCTTCATTAATGAGTTTTGTTCTTTGATTTCTTCCCGCAAACAGCAGAGTTTCTCTCTGAAAATATAAGGGAAGAAATAGTTCAATTATACCTAAGCACAGTAAACAAAAAGGAACCATTATAAAAAGTGATTTGTTAACACCAATTATCATATTGAATCAAAACCTAACCAAATTTTGACACCAAAAGTATTATAGTCAACTGGAGAACTGAAGACACAATGATGAGACCAAGTTTACTCAAAGAAATTCATATTAATGGCATTTATTACTGTGTTTCCAAATATTTTCGTCTTCGGATTCCGGTGACCGTGAAGCTAGTTGACCAGACCATACACACTAGAAGGTGAAGGGACGACGACGACGTTTCGGTCCGTCCTGGACCGAAATGTCGTCGTCCCTTCACCTTCTAGTGTGTGGTCTGGTCAACATACTTCAACCACGTTATTGTGACTCCTCGCCTGCACCGTAAAGCTAGTAAGGAAGGGAATGGAAGAATAGGATAAGGATGCAGGGAGTCTTGTAAGGTGTAAGGGGGAGGCTACGGTATAGGGAACAGATCTAGAATCAGGGATATGAGGACGAGAAGCTAGGATATGTAGACTGTGGAAAGACACGGAACCCATCCACTTGGACCCTCAGGGAACAGGTCAAACCTAGCGACTCCTTATCTAGAACTGTGACACACTGCTTCTTGAAGTCGACAGCCTCCAGCAGGTATTTTAGCTCTTAGAACAAACGTGCCCTTTGTCTTTGAACCGAAGTGCCCCTTACCTTAGATCACACATGTACCAAACAGGCAAGACCAACAGACCTATCTTGAGGTTATCTTGAGATGATTTCGGGGCTTTTTAGTCCCCGTGGCCCGGTCCTCGACCAGGCCTCCACCCCCAGGAAGCAGCCCGTGACAGCTGACTAACACCCAGGTACCTATTTTACTGCTAGGTAACAGGGGGACATTGGGTGAAAGAAACTCTACCCATTGTTTCTCGCCGGCGCCTGGGATCGAACCCAAGACCACAGGATCACAAGTCCAGCGTGCTGTCCGCTCGGCCGACTGGCTGGCCTTACCTAGGCAGTAAGTTTGTCAAACAAGAGTTTTTAAAAGTGCAAGACTTACTGAGTCTTCTGAAGGCCGACCAGCCATTGCGCGCCTTTTCTCAGTGTCAGAGCGCCGTCCGCGTCGCCCCTTCCTGTATCATCAGACTCACTCGAAGTCGAAGAGGAATTGAGATTGATGCTTATTTTGACAATCATTGAGGGTCCTCCAGAGATCTCGGATTCTGTGTCATCTTCTTGCTATGGTTTAGAGGGAATAGACAACACAAATAATTAGTCTACATGATAAAATCAATATCATACGAGTTTGGGAATAGCACATTGCTGCTTTATGGAACAAATTACCGGGAAACATCTAGTCTTCATTGTTTCAAGCGTAGGTTAGACATATGTGTATGTGAAATAATTTGACTGGGTTTAAATAGGAGCTACTTCATGTGTGTTAATAGGGCTTCTACAATGCCTTTATTCTTAAGTTCTTATATGAATGTGCAACCCGTTCTCGCACTTGCTTATAGTCAATATTGGCTTATTTAATAAGTGCATATGTGACATACTAATTGATTGTGAATATTTTAGTTTACCCTGAAAAGCTTCATAGAAAACACCGACCTCACCTAACCTTCTTAGTATGTTAAGATAAGCATCTTATTGCTTCTTATTTACAATACTTAACCTATACCGTTGATAGTATAGGTTATTCTTGTACAGTGGAACAAGAATACTGCTATGTTGATTTCACAAAGCTTTGTTCACAGACAAGCAATATGCAAGTGCCTAGGAGAGCCACTTTACGATGATTAGCTCCCTGTAACTTACGAAGTAACTTACGAAGTAACTTACGATTAAGTAACTTAGGAAGATTAAGTAACTTAGGAAGATTAAGTAACTTACGATGATTAAGTAACTTAGGAAGATTAAATAACTTACGAAGATTAAGTAACTTACGAAGATTAAATAACTTACGAAGATTAAGTATCTTTCCAAGAGCAGGTTAAGTAGCGGCACGGCATTCACAAGCGAAGGGTTGACGCTACTTAAGTTGATTAAGTCCTGTTCTAAGACAGTACTCAAGCTTAAGTTACGGTGTTGAGGTGGTGGCATCTGGGGCAAGTCCCCGCTGGACTCCACCACCTCCTGCAGCTGATCAATCACTGCCACGAAGCGGTGGAAAAAGCTTAAATCAGGATCGAGGATGTTGACGAACAGGAAATACTTGAAGGCATCTTGGATATCCCGCATGATAGCCGTTGCGTTGGCGTCTTGCTCGGCGAATTTGGCGCGGGCGGCGCGTATGTACTCCAGGCTTATTTGTAAGCGTCGAAGTCTGTCTCGTAAAGTGGCTTTCCCCACTACCAGTTCGCCGTATTCACGATAGACGCTGGTCGAAAGGTGCAGGACTGCGTCTGTCAGTAATTCCATATCTCGTAAATCGTTGAGCATGTATGTGGATCTGAAAATAAACAGAGTTGAGGCCAGGAATAGATACTGTGTGTGTGTGTGTGTGTGTGTGTCTGTGTGTGTGTGTGTGTGTGTGTGTGTGTGTGTGTGTGTGTGTGTGTGTGTGTGTGTGTGTGTGTGTGTGTGTGTGTGTGTGTGTGTACTCACCTATTTGTGCTTGCGGGGGGTTGAGCTTTGCTCTTTCGGCCCGCCTCTCAACTGTTAATCAACTGTTTACTAACTACTTTTTTTTCTTCTTTATTTTTTCTTCTCCACACCCCAGGAAGCAGCCCGTGACAGCTGACTAACTCCAAGGTACTTATTTACTGCTAGGTAACAGGGGCATTCAGAGTGAAAGAAACTTTCCCCATTTGTTTTTGCCTCGTGCGGGAATCGAACCCGCGCCACAGAATTACGAGTCCTGCGCGCTATCCACCAGGCTACCAGGCTACTGTGTGTGTGTGTGTGTGTGTGTGTGTGTGTGTGTGTGTGTGTGTGTGTGTGTGTGTGTGTGTGTGGAAATAGGATGACCTAACATAGGCCTAAGATACATATAGATACAGATACAGATACAACTAAGATATAGATACAACTTATTTCCTATATTCAACTGGAATAGTCTTAAGCTGAAAGTGGAGACCTATACAAATTTCTCCGGTCAGGTTATCTTGAAGTTATCTTGAGGTTATCTTGAGATAATTTCGGGGCTTAGCGTCCCCGCGGCCCGGTCCTCGACCAGGCCTCCACCCCCAGGAAGCAGTCCGTAGCAGCTGTCTAACTCCCAGGTATACCTATTTATTGCTAGGTGAACAGGAGCATCAGCGTGAGAGAAAATCTGTCCATTTGCTCACCCCTCCGCCGGGGATCGAACCCGGAACCTTAGGATTACGAACACCGAGCGCTATCCACTCAAACATCAGACCCCAGTCACTAAGCTTCTTCGAACAATTCAGCCCCACCAATCAGTAAGCCTACTCAATAGACCTACTGATTGCATTTTTTTATTTGAATTAAAAGCAAGGATTGTCTTTCGCCCTTGCTTCATAGGCCTATGCTAAAATGGGGGGGGGTTATCTTGAGGTTATCTTGAGATGATTTCGGGGCTTTAGTGTCCCCGCGGCCCGGTCCTCGACCAGGCCTCCACGCCCAGGAGGCAGCCTGTGACAGCTGACTAACTCCCAGGTACCTATTTACTGCTAGGTAACAGGGGCATTCAGGGTGAAAGAAACTTTGCCCATTTGTTTCTGCCTCGTGCGGGAATCGAACCCGCGCCACAGAATTACGAGTCCTGCGCGCTATCCACCAGGCTACGAGGGGGGGGGGGAGTTCAGAAACATGAGTTTCATTTGATCATTGTGACACAAAATCGTATGAAAATACAGTGTTCAGTTGATAGACTTACTGTAGTTTGCATGATCTATCTTCTGAAGCGGGCTCCGAGGCAGTCATTGATACGTGTTCACTATTGTCACTATTCTTGGCGTGTTCTTCCAAATCACTGTCCTGGCTGTGTTGTTCAGCACCCTCCTTGCTGTGTGCATCATCACTATCCTTGCTGTGTGCATCATCACTATCCTTGCTGTGTGCATCATCACTATCCTTGCTGTGTGCATCAGTATCATCACCCTCATTAATGCGCTCTTCACCATTCTTTTCTTCACGACAGTCGTACAAATTCTGCCATTCCTTATCATAATCTTCTCTACCTTCGTAACTATACTCACGCTCAAGGTTGGTGTCCGTCTCAAGACGTAATATCTCTTCTGTAATCCTTGTCTTCAAGGCTTTCAAATCATCTGTAAGGGTTGAATAAGAGATTAAGTTCATGTAATTCACTCCAAAACTCATCCTGTGGGGCCCAGAGTTTAGTTCATGTAACATATGATCCAATATTCATCCTGAGGGGCCCAACCACTTCGACTAGACGGTAGAGCGACTGTCTCGCTTCATGCAGGTCGGGGTTCAATCCCCAGACCGTCTACAAGTGGTTGGGCACTATTCCTTTCCCTTCGTCCCATCCCAGATCCTTATCCTGACCCCTTTCCAAGTGCTATATAGTCGTAATATGGCTTGGCCATTTCTCTTAATAGATCCTTTTCACCCTCATCCTGTAGCCGGTACCGGATAAGGGGTTACAGCGGTACATAATGGGCTCAGGAACTGAACTTCCCTCCCCTCCCCCCCCCTTTCTCCTCCTAAAAGGTATATTTAGCTAAGCAAATTACAGTCCTGATAGACTAGTTACACAGTTTAATGTACTGTATTGTATTAGTATTACACCAACTATTTTTGAGAGAGAGAGAGAGAGAGAGAGAGAGAGAGAGAGAGAGAGAGAGAGAGAGAGAGAGAGAGAGACAGAGAGAGAGAGAGAGACAGAGAGAGAGAGAGAGACAGAGAGAGAGAGAGAGACAGAGAGAGAGAGAGAGAGAGAGAGACAGAGAGAGAGAGAGAGACAGAGAGAGAGAGAGAGACAGAGAGAGAGAGAGAGACAGAGAGAGAGAGAGAGAGAGAGAGAGAGAGAGAGAGAGAGAGAGAGAGAGAGAGAGAGAGAGAGAGAGAGAGAGAGAGAGAGAGAGAGAGAGAGAGAGAGAGAGAGAGAGAGAGAGAGAGAGAGAGAGAGAGAGAGAGAGAGAGAGAGAGAGAGAGAGAGAGAGAGAGAGAGAGAGAGAGAGAGAGAGAGAGAGAGAGAGAGAGAGAGACAGAGAGAGAGAGAGAGACAGAGAGAGAGAGAGAGACAGAGAGAGAGAGAGAGAGAGAGAGAGAGAGAGAGAGAGAGAGAGAGAGAGAGAGAGAGAGAGAGAGAGAGAGAGAGAGAGAGAGAGAGAGAGAGAGAGAGAGAGACAGAGAGAGAGAGAGAGAGAGAGAGAGAGAGAGAGAGACAGAGAGAGAGAGAGAGAGAGAGAGAGAGAGAGAGAGAGAGAGAGAGAGAGAGAGAGAGAGAGAGAGAGAGAGAGAGAGAGAGAGAGAGAGAGAGAGAGAGAGAGAGAGAGAGAGAGAGAGAGAGAGAGAGAGAGAGAGAGAGAGAGAGAGAGAGAGAGAGAGAGAGAGAGAGAGAGAGAGAGACAGAGAGAGAGAGAGAGACAGAGAGAGAGAGAGAGACAGAGAGAGAGAGAGAGAGAGAGAGAGAGAGAGAGAGAGAGAGAGAGAGAGAGAGAGAGAGAGAGAGAGAGAGAGAGAGAGAGAGAGAGAGAGAGAGAGAGAGAGAGAGAGAGACAGAGACAGAGAGAGAGCCCAAAAGTACAGGGAAAACTATGTACGTTTTTGATCTCACGAGATGATACAAAGTAATTTACAAAGTAATTTACAAAGTAATTTACAAAGTAATTTACAAAGTAATTTACAAAGTAATTTACAAAGTAATTTACAAAGTAATTTACAAAGTAATTTACAACGTCATTTACAACGTCATTTACAAAGTAATTTACAAAGTAATTTACAAAGTAATTTACAAAGTAATTTACAAAGTAATTTACAAAGTAATTTACAAAGTCATTTACAAAGTAATTTACAAAGTAATTTACAAAGTAATTTACAAAGTAATTTACAACGTCATTTACAAAGTAATTTACAAAGTAATTTACAAAGTAATTTACAAAGTAATTTACAAAGTAATTTACAAAGTAATTTACAAAGTAATTTACAAAGTAATTTACAAAGTAATTTACAAAGTAATTTACAACGTCATTTACAAAGTAATTTACAACGTCATTTACAAAGTAATTTACAAAGTAATTTACAACGTCATTTACAAAGTAATTTACAACGTCATTTACAAGTGAGTCATGTGCTCGTATGACGCGAAAGGTGAAATCTTCTAACGAATCTGAAATTAAGAATTAATATGCTCTAATGTGAGTGGAAAAAATATGCAAATCTTTAGGCTTTAAGTTTACTCCCATTAGGCATACGTTGAAATTTGACTAACGTACTTGTAGAATCTCTTCTAGTTGTCTAAAAAACGTTCAGACGTATTGGTTGAATATATCCTAATAATCTACAAACGTTTAGACGTATTGGTTAAATATATCCTAATAATCTACAAACGTTTAGACGTATTGGTTAAATATATCCTAATAATCTACAAACGTTTAGACGTATTGGTTAAATATATCCTAATAATTTACAAACGTTTACAGACGTATTGGTTAAATATATCCTAATAATCTACAAACGTTTAGACGTATTGGTTAAATATATCCTAATAATCTACAAACGTTTACAGACGTATTGATTAAATATATCCTAATAATCTACAAACGTTTAGACGTATTGGTTAAATATATCCTAATAATCTACAAACGTTTACAGACGTATTGATTAAATATATCCTAATAATCTACAAACGTTTAGACGTATGGGTTAAATATATCCTAATAATCTACAAACGTTTACAGACGTATTGATTAAATATATCCTAATAATCTACAAACGTTTACAGACGTATTGGTTAAATATATCCTAATAATCTACAAACGTTTAGACGTATTGGTTAAATATATCCTAATAATCTACAAACGTTTAGACGTATTGGTTAAATATATCCTAATAATCTACAAACGTTTAGACGTATTGGTTAAATATATCCTAATAATTTACAAACGTTTACAAACGTATTGGTTAAATATATCCTAATAATCTACAAACGTTTAGACGTATTGGTTAAATATATCCTAATAATCTACAAACGTTTACAGACGTATTGATTAAATATATCCTAATAATCTACAAACGTTTAGACGTATTGGTTAAATATATCCTAATAATCTACAAACGTTTACAGACGTATTGATTAAATATATCCTAATAATCTACAAACGTTTACAGACGTATTGATTAAATATATCCTAATAATCTACAAACGTTTAGACGTATTGGTTAAATATATCCTAATAATCTACAAACGTTTACAGACGTATTGATTAAATATATCCTAATAATCTACAAACGTTTACAGACGTATTGGCTGATTAAGGAAAATACATTTAAAAGATCGACGTGTTTCGTATCATTCAACTTTCATTGTCACCAAGAATGAATAGCATTTTTTTTAAAAGTTATCAACGCATAATTCGCAAATAAATAATCCATTTTTATTTTATTTTATTCTAATGCTTTCAAGGGATTTTTTTTTTTTGGGGGGGGGGCAACTAACCCCCTTCCCCCCCCCCCCCCCCATGTCTAAGATTAAATACTAAACTACTCAAAATTTTTAAGGATTTAGTCTACGTAAAATAAAATAAAAATCTGGACATTCTATCAGGCCAAACTGCACAATAAAATATATGAAATCAATTGAGAAAATTCGCTAAAACAAGATATATATATATATATATGTAAACAAAAAATAATTATATGATATATAAAAAGTTTGAAGAAACCTCATCTGATCATCCCGTCCTCCTTAGGTTTCTCAATGTTAAGAAAACTGTTCATTTAAAGTTTTCTTATCCTAGTACGACAATTTTCTTATCCTAATCTACCAGAGGACCTAAAACAGAAAACGGGTCAGTACGTCATTTTCCGAAGCCATTTCCATATTCCAGTACGACAATTTTTTTTTTTTTGATCTTATATGACGCATACGAGCGAAATACAACGTTCTTTGTAGGAGCTCAGATGTATAAAATACAACAATACAATGACTCGAAGATCAAAATGAATAAGATTCAATCTGAGATACATTATCAAAGACGCTAAATTTAGGAAGATTAAGTAGCAGAGGTCATCTGAGATCGAGCAATAATATTTATTGATTTATTTGTTTGTTTGTTGCCCCCTGAGGCTATCTTGAAATGATTTCGGGGCTTTAGTGTCCCCGCGGCCCGGTCCTCGACTAGGCCTCCACCCCCCAGGAAGCAGCCCGTGACAGCTGACTAACACCCAGGTACCTATTTTACTACTAGGTAACAGGGGCATAGGGTGAAAGAAACTCTGCCCATTGTTTCTCGCCGGCTCCTGGGATCGAACCCGGGACCACGGGATCACAAGTCCAGCGTGCTGTCCGCTCGGCCGACCGGCTCCAGTTTATTACTAGTTTATTGTGCACCCCATACCCATCCTGTGAGCGGTAGAGCAAAAAGCATTACAGAGGGGCACAAAAGGTCTTTATCAGACCTCATCTTAGATTATTACATAAACAATATCATCTATCCTTCACACCTTATAGTGACAATGTCAGCTAGTTACAGAGAGTGCTATTTCAAGAGCTATATATTTACAGTAAGTCATTATATATTAATGGGAGGTGTATTGATGCATGCGAAATCCAAGTCACTATATATATCTTGAGACTTTAACTCGAGATCTTAAGGAGATCAAGAAATCCTGAGATGTTTAAGGGGGATAAGACTCAAGATCTGAAAGTAACTCTGGCTTATTGAGGCTAAAATTCCTGTTCTTTCACGCTAAGTAATTAAGATCCCTAGACTAAACTTATTCCCTATTAACAGCCCAACTACTTTAGGCTGTTAAAGCGACGGTCTCGCTTCATGCAGGTAAGGGTTCAATCCCCAACCGTCCCTACAAGTGGTTAGGCACCATTCCTTTCACCCCGTCCCATCCCAAATCCTTATCCTGATCCCTTCCCAGTGCTATATAGTCGTAATGGCTTGGCGCTTTCCCCCTGATAATTCCATTAACTTCCATAGTAACAGGGCCACCATTAACAGGAAAGAATAGCAGTAAACCATTTTCAAAAAAATATTTTTAAATATAAGCCATTAAGAAAAACAAAAAAAATCAAAATAATAAGCCATTAAGAAAAAAAAACAAATATTTTTTCTATATATTAAAGCCATTAAGAAAAAAAAATCAACATTTTTTTGGCCATTAAGGAAAAAAAATATTTTTAAATATAATTAAGCCATTAATAAAAATAAAAATAATACTTTTCAATATAATTTTAACCATTAAGAAAAACAAAAAAAAATATTTATCAATACAATTAAGCCATTAAGAAAAAAAGAAAAAAAAATTAATATAATTAAACCACTAAGAAAAAACAAAAAATCATATTTAAAAAAAAAAAACATCTAACCCTCTAAAAAATATAATTCTGAAACCTGTAAGACAAATCCACCGCCGAATATAACCAAATAACGACTGAAAAACTGCATAAAAACAAACAAAAAACAAATTTCAATGGAGAATAAATACCAGGTTGTGCCAACTGGTCCTTCATGGCACTCTTAAGAACCTTCTTCAACATCTTAATCTTGTAGACGACCTTCTGGAACTTCTGATCGCTGCATCTGAAGGTTGCTTGCAAGTCTGTGTGCTGCAGAATATATAGAAACACTGTTTACCACACACACACACACATACATATATACACATGTAGTTTCAAAGCGTTATATGACAAAGAGTGCTGGGAAGACGGGACACCACGAGCGTAGCTCTCATCCTGTAACTACACTTAGGTAATTACATGGAGAGGCGGGACCAAAGAGCCAGAGCTCAACTCCCTGCAAGCACAAATAGGTGAATATACACACAAATACTCGGAGTATATAAGACATAGTAATATAATTAAGACGATTTATCTTGGATAATATCGGCGTGGATTAAAATCAAGATGATTTATCTTGGATAATATCGCCATGGATTTGAATTAAGACGATTTATCTTGGATAATATCGACGTGGATTTGAATTAAGACGATTTATCTTGGATAATATCGCCATGGATTAAAATCAAGACGATTTATCTTGCATAATATCGACGTGGATTTGAATTAAGACGATTTATCTTGGATAATATCGACGTGGACTTGAATCAAGCTGTTTTATCTTGGATAATATCGACGTGGACTTGAATCAAGCTGTTTTATCTTGGATAATATCGACATGGATTAGAATTAAGACGTTTTATCTTGAAGAATATCAACATGGATTATAAGCAAGATTACTTAAGATACAGTACATAGAATTAGCAAAGAGTTCAGTAATTCTGGCATCTAATCCAAGACTATTAATAAGACTATTTATACAGTATATAGAAAATAAAATTATAATTAAAGCGACTTTACAAAAAGAGTATTCAGACATTGGATTTATAACCCAACTTTGGTTACATCTAAAATTATTTTCCCCCTACAACATAATAATATGTTTAACAGATCTCTAATCCTGTCCATGGAGGACAGTAAAAAAATGTATATATATATATATATATATATATATATATATATATATATATATATATATATATATATGTCGTACCTAGTAGCCAGAACTCACTTCTCAGCCTACTATGCAAGGCCCGATTTGCATAATAAGCCAAGTTTTCATGAATTAATTGTTTTTCGACAACCTAACCTACCTAACCTAACCTAACCTAACTTTTTCGGCTACCTAACCTAACCTAACCTATAAAGATAGGTTAGGTTAGGTTAGGTAGGGTTGGTTAGGTTCGGTCATATATCTACGTTAATTTTAACTCCAATAAAAAAAAATTGACCTCATACATAATGAAATGGGTAGCTTTATCATTTCATAAGAAAAAAAATAGAGAAAATATATTAATTCAGGAAAACTTGGCTTATTAGGCAAATCGGGCCTCGCATAGTAGGCTGAGAAGTGAGTTCTGGCTACTAGGTACGACATATATATATATAAAATATATATATATATATATATATATATAATATATATATAATATATATATATAGAAGGCGTACTACTGGGCCAGATGCCTCTTGCAACACCTCTTAAGAAGCATCTTGAGATGATATGATGCAATGAGAAAGGAAATAAAATATTAAAAAAAACACCACAAAACAGTTTTACTAAATAGCAGAGCACACTAGGGCAAGTTTTTTTTTGTTTTTTTTACTTGTAATTTCTGTACAAGTACAGAATTTTTATTTTTATTAAATAGCAATAGACTTCAGTAAATACTGCAGAAGACTTTACTAAATAGCAACAAACTTTAGTAACTAGTTCAGAAAATCTTTACTAAATAGCAAGAAACTTTAGTAACTAGTTCAGAAAATCTTTACTAAATAGCAAGAAACTTTAGTAACTTGTTCAGAATATCTTTACTAAATAGCAAGAAACTTTAGTAACTAGTTCAGAAAATCTTTACTAAATAGCAAGAAACTTTAGTAACTAGTTCAGAAAATCTTTACTAAATAGCAAGAAACTTTAGTAACTAGTTCAGAAAATCTTTACTAAATAGCAAGAAACTTTAGCAAGTTATACAAAAGTTTTCACTAAATTACAAGACATACTTTTAGTAAGTATTAGAGAATCTTGACTAAATAGCAAGTTACACTTCAGCAAGAAGTAATTAAGTCATTAATAAGTAGCAGGATACCTTAGAGAGTAGCGAGACGTCTTAGAAAGTAGCGAGACATCTTAGAAAGTAGTGAGATACCTTAGAAAGTAGCGAGACATCTTAGAAAGTAGCAGGACATCTTAGAAAGTAGCAAGACATCTTAGAAAGTAGCGAGACATCTTAGAAAGTAGTGAGATACCTTAGAAAGTAGCGAGACATCTTAGAAAGTAGTGAGACATCTTAGAAAGTAGCAGGATACCTTAGAAAGTAGCGAGACATCTTAGAAAGTAGCAGGACATCTTAGAAAGTAGCGAGACATCTTAGAAAGTAGCGAGACATCTTAGAAAGTAGTGAGATACCTTAGAAAGTAGCGAGACATCTTAGAAAGTAGTGAGACATCTTAGAAAGTAGCAGGATACCTTAGAAAGTAGCGAGACACCTTCCCTCTAGAACAGCAAATGTTCACCGTGAACATTCTCCTTCTCACCAAAGACTGGACCATTTTGTGCAGCGAGACCCATTTCTGGCGTTGGTCTGGTGGCTGGTCCTCGACGGTCCTGGATACGTAATGCCCCATTACTCGAGTGATGGAGGAGACAGGAGCGAGCAGCATGTGTCCCCGACGACGGCTGCTGCGGCACTGAGTCGCCACGCCCATGGGTACCGTACTTTTAAATTAAAGACTTTTAAAACACTTATAGACGTTGGTTTAAGTAACTTGGGACGTTTTTAATAATGGGGAAATAAAGTCTGTTTTTTTTAGGGATTAAACTATGTTTTACTGTGATTATTTAGTGGGGAAAATGTGTTTTTAAGATTCAAATCATATATTGTTGGCGCTAGGCTAGTTTAATGCTTCAAATAGACGTTATTTCCTGCTAGTCTTATTTCTATTAAGTGTAAGTGAATTTTTGTAGTGCAATGGTGACCAGAAAATCACTATGAACACATCCGTATTGAAAGTATATAGTGTAATACGATTTTTTTTTGATAAATGATAAAACTATTTAATGTTGACTTTCGCCTTGAATTTTTCTGTTACTAAGATGCACCTGATAGTCTTGTAAAATAAATTTATACTTAACTATCTAAGTTAAACCCAGACAATTAACAGTACATTCAGGATATTTTCTTGTATCTTGAGAGGATTGTTAATGTCATTATTTTTACAAACATCTTTTTTGAAAAGTTAAAATATTATTTTCCAATTTAACTCAATCTCCCTTTTATATTATCTATGGGTTTTTGGAGCTGTTTTTGAGCCTATTACGAACTAACTAGCGAATTGGTTGACTTATTTAGGTGATACTTAATTGGTACTAGTCTTTGCCAGGTGTTAATCTTTGCTATTAATCCCAATCTAGCAGAAAAACAGAGAAATCTAAATTAAATTGAAAATTCTAATTCTAAGTGAATTGATTGGGGTCAGTATGATAGTGACCCCAGCAAGAGACTAGCATGATAGTGACCCCAGCAAGAGACTAGTATGATAGTGACCCCAGCTAGTGACCAGTATGATAGTGACCCCAGCTAGTGACCAGCATGATAGTGACCCCAGCAAGAGACTAGTATGATAGTGACCCCAGCTAGTGACCAGTATGATAGTGACCCCAGCTAGTGACTAGCATGATAGTGACCCCAGCTAGAGACTAGTATGATAGTGACCCCAGCTAGTGACTAGCATGATAGTGACCCCAGCTAGAGACTAGTATGATAGTGACCCCAGCTAGTGACCAGTATGATAGTGACCCCAGCTAGTGACTAGCATGATAGTGACCCCAGCTAGAGACTAGTATGATAGTGACCCCAGCTAGAGACTAGTATGATAGTGACCCCAGCTAGAGACTAGTATGATAGTGACCCCAGCTAGAGACCAGTATGATAGTGACCCCAGCTAGAGACTAGTATGATAGTGACCCCAGCTAGAGACCAGTATGATAGTGACCCCAGCTAGAGACCAGTATGATAGTGACCCCAGCTAGAGACCAGTATGATAGTGACCCCAGCTAGAGACTAGCATGATAGTGACCCCAGCTAGAGACCAGTATGATAGGGACCCCAGCTAGAGACCAGTATGATAGTGACCCCAGCTAGAGACTAGTATGATAGTGACCCCAGCTAGAGACTAGTATGATAGTGACCCCAGCAAGAGACCAGTATGATAGTGACCCCAGCTAGTGACCAGTATGATAGTGACCCCAGCTAGAGACCAGTATGATAGTGACCCCAGCTAGAGACTAGTATGATAGTGACCCCAGCTAGAGACTAGTATGATAGTGACCCCAGCTAGAGACTAGTATGATAGTGACCCCAGCTAGTGACCAGTATGATAGTGACCCCAGCTAGAGACTAGTATGATAGTGACCCCAGCAAGAGACCAGTATGATAGTGACCCCAGCTAGTGACCAGTATGATAGTGACCCCAGCTAGAGACTAGTATGATAGTGACCCCAGCTAGAGACCAGTATGATAGTGACCCCAGCTAGAGACTAGTATGATAGTGACCCCAGCTAGTGACCAGTATGATAGTGACCCCAGCTAGAGACCAGTATGATAGTGACCCCAGCTAGTGACCAGTATGATAGTGACCCCAGCTAGAGACCAGTATGATAGTGACCCCAGCTAGAGACTAGTATGATAGTGACCCCAGCTAGAGACTAGCATGATAGTGACCCCAGCTAGAGACTAGTATGATAGTGACCCCAGCTAGAGACTAGCATGATAGTGACCCCAGCTAGTGACCAGACAATGTCATAGTGACCCCAGCTAGTGACCAGACAATGTCATAGTGACCCCCTTAGAGACCGTGAAAAATCACCCCCCCCCCCAGATCAAAAGCCCCCCTAACCCCCCTCCATAAAAGTCAATCTAAAACTTTAGAGATAATAGCCATAGTTTGAACATTTAGAACAAAACAACCAAAAAAACAATACAACAAAATTGACAAATAAAAAAAGCCTATCCATATGCCAGTAGGCTTTTTTTGAAGGCATTTTTAGATTAGGCTTTTGAAACCAGGATGATTCTAATACGATTTTACTCTAAAACTGCTAAAGTGTCTGATGCATAAGTTTGCAATAATGTCCCTCTTATCCAGGACATGTCCTGGACAATTTGGACACTGGATTCGGGTTTAAAAAATTGCGTTGACTTTTTAAATTTAAAAGAAATAGTAAAAAAAATTCACAAAAAGTCCAGAATTTCAGCTTCTATTACAAGGAATGGCTACATAAAAGCCCAGATACCACAATCAATGCCTACATAACAGTCTAGACACCACAAACAATGACCACAACAGCCCAGACACCACAAACAATGCCTACATAACAGTCTAGACACCACAAACAATGACCACAACAGCCCCAGACACCACAAACAATGACCACAACAGCCCAGACACCACAAACAATGACCACAACAGCCTAGACACCACAAACAATGACCACAACAGCCTAGACACCACAATCAATGACCACAACAGCCCAGACACCACAAACAATGACCACAACAGCCCAGACACCACAAACAATGACCACAACAGCCTAGACACCACAATCAATGACCACAACAGCCCAGACACCACAAACAATGACCACAACAGCCCAGACACCACAAACAATGACCACAACAGCCCAGACACCACAAACAATGACCACAACAGCCCAGACACCACAAACAATGACCACAACAGCCCAGACACCACAAACAATGACCACAACAGCCCCAGACACCACAAACAATGACCACAACAGCCTAGACACCACAATCAATGACCACAACAGCCTAGACACCACAAACAATGACCACAACAGCCCAGACACCACAAACAATGACCACAACAGCCCAGACACCACAAACAATGACCACAACAGCCTAGACACCACAATCAATGACCACAACAGCCTAGACACCACAAACAATGACCACAACGGCCCAGACACCACAAACAATGACCACAAAAGCCCAGATACCACAATCAATGCCTACATAACAGTCTAGACACCACAAACAATGACCACAACAGCCCAGACACCACAAACAATGACCACAACAGCCCAGACACCACAAACAATGACCACAACAGCCCAGACACCACAAACAATGACCACAACAGCCCAGACACCACAAACAATGACCACAACAGCCCAGACACCACAAACAATGACCACAACAGCCCAGACACCACAAACAATGACCACAACAGCCCCAGACACCACAAACAATGACCACAACAGCCTAGACACCACAATCAATGACCACAACAGCCTAGACACCACAAACAATGACCACAACAGCCCAGACACCACAAACAATGACCACAACAGCCCAGACACCACAAACAATGACCACAACAGCCTAGACACCACAATCAATGACCACAACAGCCTAGACACCACAAACAATGACCACAACGGCCCAGACACCACAAACAATGACCACAAAAGCCCAGATACCACAATCAATGCCTACATAACAGTCTAGACACCACAAACAATGACCACAACAGCCCAGACACCACAAACAATGACCACAACAGCCCAGACACCACAAACAATGACCACAACAGCCCAGACACCACAAACAATGACCACAACAGCCCAGACACCACAAACAATGACCACAACAGCCCAGACACCACAAACAATGACCACAACAGCCCCAGACACCACAAACAATGACCACAACAGCCTAGACACCACAATCAATGACCACAACAGCCTAGACACCACAAACAATGACCACAACAGCCCAGACACCACAAACAATGACCACAACAGCCCAGACACCACAAACAATGACCACAACAGCCTAGACACCACAATCAATGACCACAACAGCCTAGACACCACAAACAATGACCACAACGGCCCAGACACCACAAACAATGACCACAAAAGCCCAGATACCACAAGCAATGACCACAACAGCCCAGACACCACAAACAATGACCACAACAGCCCAGACACCACAAACAATGACCACAACAGCCCAGACACCACAATCAATGACCACAACAGCCCCAGACACCACAAACAATGACCACAACAGCCCAGACACCACAATCAATGACCACAACAGCCCAGACACCACAATCAATGACCACAACAGCCCAGACACCACAAACAATGACCACAACAGCCCCAGACACCACAAACAATGACCACAACAGCCTAGACACCACAATCAATGACCACAACAGCCCAGACACCACAAACAATGTCCACAACAGCCCCAGACACCACAAACAATGACCACAACAGCCCAGACACCACAAACAATGACCACAACAGCCCCGGACACCACAAACAATGACCACAACAGCCCCAGACACCACAAACAATGACCACAACAGCCTAGACACCACAATCAATGACCACAACAGCCCAGACACCACAAACAATGTCCACAACAGCCCCAGACACCACAAACAATGTCCACAACAGCCCAGACACCACAATCAATGACCACAACAGCCCAGACACCACAATCAATGACCACAACAGCCCAGACACCACAAACAATGACCACAACAGCCCCAGACACCACAAACAATGACCACAACAGCCCAGACACCACAAACAATGACCACAACAGCCCCGGACACCACAAACAATGACCACAACAGCCCCAGACACCGCAAACAATGACCACAACAGCCTAGACACCACAATCAATGACCACAACAGCCCAGACACCACAAACAATGTCCACAACAGCCCCAGACACCACAAACAATGTCCACAACAGCCCCAGACACCACAAACAATGTCCACAACAGCCCCAGACACCACAAACAATGACCACAACAGCCCCAGACACCACAAACAATGTCCACAACAGCCCCAGACACCACAAGCAATGACCACAACAGCCCAGACACCACAATCAATGACCACAACAGCCCAGACACCACAAGCATTGACCACAACAGCCCAGACACCACAATCAATGACCACAACAGCCCAGACACCACAATCAATGACCACAACAGCCCAGACACCACAATCAATGACCACAACAGCCCCAGACACCACAAACAATGACCACAACAGCCCCAGACACCACAATCAATGACCACAACAGCCTAGACACCACAAACAATGACCACAACAGCCCAGATACCACAAACAATGACCACAACAGCCCCAGACACCACAATCAATGACCACAACAGCCCCAGACACCACAAGCAATGACCACAACAGCCCCAGACACCACAAGCAATGACCACAACAGCCCAGACACCACAATCAATGACCACAACAGCCCAGACACCACAATCAATGACCACAACAGCCCAGACACCACAATCAATGACCACAACAGCCCCAGACACCACAAACAATGACCACAACAGCCCAGACACCACAATCAATGACCACAACAGCCCAGACACCACAAACAATGACCACAACAGCCCCAGACACCACAATCAATGACCACAACAGCCCAGACACCACAATCAATGACCACAACAGCCCCAGACACCACAAACAATGACCACAACAGCCCCAGACACCACAATCAATGACCACAACAGCCCAGACTCCACAATCAATGACCACAACAGCCCCAGACACCACAATCAATGACCACAACAGCCCAGACACCACAAGCAATGGCCACAACAGCCCCAGACACCACAATCAATGACCACAACAGCCCAGACACCACAAACAATGACCACAACAGCCCAGACACCACAATCAATGACCACAACAGCCCAGACACCACAATCAATGACCACAACAGCCCAGACACCACAAGCAATGACCACAACAGCCCAGACACCACAATCAATGACCACAACAGCCCCAGACACCACAAACAATGACCACAACAGCCCAGACACCACAATCAATGACCACAACAGCCCAGACACCACAAGCAATGACCACAACAGCCCAGACACCACAAACAATGACCACAACAGCCCAGACACCACAATCAATGACCACAACAGCCCAGACACCACAAACAATGACCACAACAGCCCACAAACAATGACACAACAGCCCCAGACAACAACAATGACACAACAGCCCAACACCACAAACAATCAATGACCACAACAGCCCAGACACCACAAACAATGACCACAACAGCCCAGACACCACAAACAATGACACAACAGCCCAGACACCACAATCAATGACCACAACAGCCCAGACACCACAATCAATGACCACAACAGCCCAGACACCACAAGCAATGACCACAACAGCACAATGACCACAACAGCCCCAGACACCACAAACAATGACCACAACAGCCCAGACACCACAAACAATGACCACAACAGCCCAGACACCACAAACAATGACCACAACAGCCCCAGACACCACAAACAATGACCACAACAGCCCAGACACCACAATCAATGACCACAACAGCCCCAGACACCACAATCAATGACCACAACAGCCCCAGACACCACAAACAATGACCACAACATCCCAGACACCACAAACAATGACCACAACAGCCCAGACACCACAATCAATGACCACAAAAGCCGCACAACAGCAGACTGAAGCCTCGTCCGCGCTCCTTCAGTTCAGACAAACAGGAATTAATATCCCTAGGGGCCTGTCCTCTCCTGCAGCGCCTAGCCTTGCCAATTATCCCAATTTACCTCCAATTTAGCCCAATTACCTCGTCTCGATCACCTCGTGCTCCCTATTACCTCAATTACGCCTAATTTTATGACCCTGGACCTGTCTCATCTATCCTCAAGGACCTGCTCTTCTCTTTTTTTGTTTTAGGACTGGCCTCTCCTATCCTCAAGGACCTGGTTCTTCTATCCTCAAGGACCTGGTTCTTCTATCCTCAAGGACCTGCTCTTCTCTTTTTTTGTTTTAGGACTGGCCTCTCCTATCCTCAAGGACCTGGTTCTTCTATCCTCATGGACCTGGTTCTTCTATCCTCAAGGACCTGGTTCTTCTATCCTCAAGGACCTGGTTCTTCTATTCTCAAGGACCTGGTTCTCCTATCCTCAAGGACCTGGTTCTTCTATCCTCAAGAATTTGGTTCTCCTATCCTCAAGGACCTGGTTCTTCTATCCTCAAGGACCTGGTTCTTCTATCCTCGAGAATCTGGTTCTTCTATCCTCAAGAATCTGGTTCTTCTATCCTCAAGGACCTGGTTCTTCTATCCTCAAGGACCTGGTTCTTCTATCCTCAAGGACCTGGTTCTTCTATCCTCAAGAATCTGGTTCTCCTATCCTCAAGGACCTGGTTCTTCTATCCTCAAGGACCTGGTTCTTCTATCCTCAAGAATCTGGTTCTTCTATCCTCAAGAATCTGGTTTTTCTATCCTCAAGGACCTGGTTCTTCTATCCTCAAGAATCTGGTTCTCCTATCCTCAAGGACCTGGTTCTTCTATCCTCAAGGACCTGGTTCTTCTATCCTCTAGGATCTGGTTCTCCTATCCTCAAGGATCTGGTTCTCCTATCCTCAAGGATCTGGTTCTTCTGTCCTCAAGGACCTGGTTCTTCTATCCTCAAGAATCTGGTTCTTCTATCCTCAAGAATCTGGTTCTTCTATCCTCAAGGACCTGGTTCTTCTATCCTCAAGGACCTGGTTCTTCTATCCTCAAGGACCTGGTTCTTCTATCCTCAAGAATCTGGTTCTTCTATCCTCAAGAATCTGGTTCTTCTATCCTCAAGGACCTGGTTCTTCTATCCTCAAGAATCTGGTTCTCCTATCCTCAAGGACCTGGTTCTTCTATCCTCAAAGACCTGCCTCTTCTATCCCATCCCACTCTCCACTCCAAAGCTGTGTGTCAAATACTGACTAAAGAATATAATAATGTCAGTATTTAGCCTTATCAGCACTGACAAAAATGAATCTTTCGAGAACGAATTGAGTAATAATAACTATTATTTTCTCAAATATCAAATAGTATTCTTATATATCGTGATTTTAGGCATAGGTAGACCTAGGGTAGGTTGGGTAAAATGTGTATTTTTGTAGCAGTGATTTACGGATTGTTTACAACTTTGGCTGGATGTGAACGAAGCCACATAACCTAGCTGCGAACATGGCCAAATGACTACAGACTTATTATTGTTTGTATTCGTACTGTACCAACGTAATATCATTGATAATAATAATAATAATAATTATGGTAAGGTTGGATAAGGTGTGTGTTTTGTGGCAGTAATTTAGGGGGTGTTTACGTATCAGGCTAGATGTGAACGAAGCCTCAAATCATAGCTACGAACACGGCCAAGTGACTACAGACTTATTACTGTTTGTATTCGTACTGTATCAACGTAATATCACTGATAATAATAATAATAAAATATGAGAGGAACAGCCTACACCTGATCTCCTCAGTTACCCAAAACTTCCAGCATGGAAAATTGAAAAACTTGGCCCGCGGTTCCTATACTCTGTGAGACCGCTATGGCGGTACTGATGCTTGTAATACAGTCTAGAGAGTTTCATGTGGCATGTTTAGTGTTGGAGTGTGTGTGTGTGTGTGTGTGTGTGTGTGTGTGTGTGTGTGTGTGTGTGTGTGTGTGTGTGTGTGTGTGTGTGGGTGGGTGTGTGTGTGTGTGTGTGTGTGTGTGTGTGTGTGTGTGTGTGTGTGTGTGTGTGTGTGTGTGTGTGTGTGTGTGTGTGTGTGTGTGTGTGTGTGTGTGTGTGTGTGTGTGTGTGTGTGTGTGTGTGTGTGTGTGTGAGAGAGTCTGAAGGGCTAGATTCACGAAGCAGTTACGCGAACACTTACGAACGTGTACATCTTTCCTCAATCTTTGGCGGCTTTGGTTACATTTATTAAACAGTTTACAAGCATGAAAACTTGTCAGTCAACTGTTGTTATTGTTATAAACAGCCTCCTGGTGCTTCGGAGCTCATTAACTGTTTAATAATTGTAAACAAAGCCGCCAAAGATTGAGGAAAGATGTACAGGTTCGTAAGTGCTGACGTAACTGCTTCCTGAATCTGATCCCAGAAGACGAGATAATAATAGTTAAAAGAATAAAGATGATTTGAGCACTTTGATATTTTCTTCTCACAATGAAGATCCACAAGGTCTTTTCTGAGTACTCTTTATTTTCTTCTACGAGGCTATGGGTCCCCCTACACCTGCACCAGAGGTGGTACCCCCCGTTTAGGTACTTTTAGGTACTCTTTATTTTCTTCTACGAGGCTATGGGTCCCTTACACCTGCACCAGAGGTGGTACCCGTTTTTAGGTATTTTTAGGTATATTCTACTTTGCTCTGATGACGGCGAATTAAGCCGAAAACGCGTTTAGCATTATTTTTTTCACATGAGGTGTTTCCACGTACTTGGATCAGTATTTTAATTATATATGAACCAGCCTTAACATTTTTCTACTCGCCAAAATAGGTTTAATGGTGATAGAGAACCCAATAGGATACTTTATAGCCTAGTCTGGGGGCGGTATTTCCCATGGGGGGAGGAATTGGTTCTTACATACCTGCTTTCTTCACGGGGGGTAAAGTTTTCTTGTATTGCAAGACTCAATGACAACACCTGCTCTCTTAAATTGTGCTCGTACGGGTGTCATATGTGCATCTGTGTGTGTGTTATATGTAGCATGTGTATGTGTGTGTCATATGTGGCCTATCTTGAGATGATTTCGAGGCTTTTTAGTGTCCCCGCGGCCCGGTCCTCAACCAGGCCTCCACCACCTTCAGGAAGCAGCCCGTGACAGCTGACTAACACCCAGGTACCTATTTTACTGCTAGGTAACAGGGGGGATAGGGTGAAAGAAACTCTGCCCCATTGTTTCTCGTCGGCGCCTGGAATCGAACCCGGGACCACAGGATCACAAGTCCAGCGTGCTGTCCGCTCGGCCGACCGGCCTGTGTATATATGTGTCATACGCGAGTGTCAAGCACGCCACAGGTGGCACATATGTTTACGAAAACATGTGCCTTAACACCTGCCATTAAACCCCCCCCCCTCTCTCTCCTCCCCCCTTATGGGGCGATTAACTACCCCTCCCCCCAATCCCTTGAGCAGGTGTAATTCAACTCCCCATGATTGGGTAATTTACACCCGGACAGCTGAATGGGTCCGGCCGGCAGCCGGCCTCATCATTCCCACATTATCTCATAGGGACCGGATATAAAAAAAAACTAAAAAGTCTTTACATATTCAACAAAAAAGTTTTCCCCAAAAGCGGGCTCCCAGTTCTGGGCGTCTCAGGGCGACGCCGCCTGATGCCTGACGAGCCCAAGTCAGCCCGGCCGGCGATTTGTTTACGCGGGAGACGAAAGGTTTTGAATTGATCCACAAAAAAAATGCGTAATATTAGTTCTAACGTATCAACTATACCTTAACTACGTGCTAACGGATTTATTAACAATAATAACCATACTAGTGATTGATTAATAATTAAATCACATCAATTAACAATCTCTCAAACTCTCGCATGAGTAGATGAGAATGGCGGGGTTTGCAAACCGTTTTATCATATATAATCAGCAATTAGTTGCTGTATCTCGTTCACAAGAATAACGAGTATTGTTCTAGAGAGTTATTTAACCAATGACGGCGTACTAAAGTGTGTTAAACACCTATAATCAGAGCTGTGAGCTGTGTACTTCAACACAGTAGAAGATATTGGGCTCACTTAACGAGCCAAAGGATAATTGGTTCTAAAGCTAGTTCAACGAGGATGGATAGTTGGCCGTGACGGTTTGGTAGAGTCATTTAATCGGACAGTCATTTGGCTGTAATGTCGCTCAACTATTTAATACCCCTAACAAGATTCCACTTCCCACTAGGTGATTAGAGATTGAGTAGATATTTACCCCTAAACTACAGCAAATATATAACTAATTGCCATTATTTAATTGCCATGACCCTTGATACAATTTAAACAACTTTCTTACAATTTCCTCTTTACAAAAAGAAAGGAAATTCGAATTAGAACATTTTCTCAAAATATTAGGCTAGATTTTATCCCTTTTTCTGCCTGGGTTTGTTTTGATAATTGTAAATAAGATTTGAGTCAGTATGAGTACCAGTACAAGGTTGTGAGTCAGTATAGAGTACCAGTACAAGGTTGTGAGTCAGTATAGAGTA